CTGGGGTTTTGTAATGCACGGGCGGGGGTAGGGGCACGCTCCTGGGCTGTCCCGTATCCATCTCCAGCAGCGTCCATGGGCGCTGGAGATATGGCCCCTATCTCAGAGTTCAGCCTTCCAGAGGGACTCCAGCTTAGGTGATCAACACACCTGGGTGCATCCAGATTCCTTTGGTTTTATTCGACTGTGGATTTCGACACCTGGTGACCCGTGTGGTTCCGTTTTCACTTGTGCCATTTTATTTCTGCTCAGAAATCCAGGAATTAAGACTTTTTCTTTTTTACAGATGAGGTGCGTTACGTTGGGACTGTTGTCCGCAGCGAAGGGAAAAACCAAAAGCTTGCATAACCCTAATCCCATCTCCTCCTGGGAGACACGTTAGATCTAGTTCTAGGAGAAATGCTTTCCAGTGCAGGTGGGATGAAATCTCAGATATATTTTTATATGCCTTTTGGCAACCTAATTTAAAGAGGTTTGGTTGTGGCTTTCAATTCTACATTATTTGCCAGGGTGTTTCCAAAGCGTAGGATGTGGGATAGATGTGACCAGAGAAGGTGGCTGATCACTTTTAAATCTTGGCACTGTTAAGAAATGGCCTCTTTTTTTTTTCCTTTGTTCTGAACAGCAACATTGGTCACAAAGAAATGGAGTTGAAACTCAGTGGCCTTTAGGGTACAGACTGATGAATCTGTTATTGCTCGCAAATGTTTATAGGGGTCCTGTTTCACGTTTCCAGGTTGTTACGAAAGAATTAAGATAAATTCTACAGACTCCAGTTAATATTTATTTTATGGGTTTAGCAATACCACTTACATATCTCTAGGGGAAGAGTTTGATTTTTTTTTTTGTGATGCTACATCTTAAATTTTGGCTTAAAATTATTTTAAAATTTGAGAATAGTTATCAACTGTGATGCTTATGCATAATTTTATTATTCAGATTCAGTACATGGGCTAGAAGTAAGTGCTGGAAGCTCAGTTTAAGATCCTTTGTGCAACTATTTCCTGTGTCTCCATTCCTGAGAACTATCAATACTCCAAGTATTCTGGTAAAGATACTAAAGAACGTCATAACTAGAATGCAGACATACATGAAGTGTCAGTTTAGAGCTGTAGGCTCACAACTACAGGTTGAAAGTGATTTCAGGCCAATAGAGAACTACTAACAGCTGCTGGTACACTGCCTGTCTTCCTCCAGAACAGGAACTCCTTGAAAACACTTAAAGGTGGAATAGAAGTAGCATAAGAAATGTTTATATGTTTAAAAATCATTCATGTTCTGTTTCAGTGTTTCCTCACTGCTAGTTCATCTTTCTTTTTAATTTAGATACAGAGTTAAAAAGTTGTGATAAATGTAAATCTGGTGTCCTAAATAAGTCAGTGGCACCAGACCTTTACTCAAATGGTGCCTTTTCATAGAATCACAGAATGGTTTGGGTTGGAAGGGACCTTAAAGCCCATATAGTTCCAGCCCCCCTGCCATGGGCAGGGACACCTTCCACTAGACCAGGTTGCTCCAAGCCTCATCCAGCCTGGCCTTGAACACTCCCAGGGATAGGGAACCCACAGGTTGCTTCTCTGGGCAACCTGTTCCAGTTTTCATAACTTCCTTAAATTTCTTGAAACATCTGAAAGAGACTTTGGAATAAACATGAGGGACGTTAACATTCATGTGTGGTTAATGTATTCCTTGCAGGGGTTGAAATGAATTAGTTGAAGGAAGTCTATTGGATTAAAATTGAAGTGCAGTGTGTCTTTATTCAAGTAGCCTGAAACACACAGCTAATAGGCTTGTGTCTGCCCTGAAT